CCAGCCCCAGTCACGGCCAGGCTGGCACAGTCCTGGTGCCTCTCTGCCAGGCACAGGACTCTGAGGTTCACAGGGTGAGCCTGCAGAGCCCCTCCAAGGGGTTGAACCACCCACAGTGCCCCAAACCAAAGCAGGACAGAGCCAGGAGACCTCTTGCCTCCAAGACTCCTTTCTCCCTGGCTTTCCTCCATCTGGAGACAGATGAGGCTTGGAGACCGCTGAAGCCACCTGGGGCCACAAGAGAAACCCCTCATCAAGAGCTGGAATAAGGAAAGGCTCTGGATGCTGACAGCATGAAGGAATGGGATTGGGTATCACTTCTGCAAAACTTACTGTACATCTAAGACCTCAGAGAAAAAAACAACAGGCAACTCCAGCAGAGGTGCTGAGAAGCTGGGAAACTGGGAGAGCATTTCAGATTTATGGGAAATTAATTTAGCCCTAGACTAGATGCTGATAGCCAGCAAGGCCCTCTCCCCATGACAGCCCATATTACTGGCCCAAGCTGTGGGGTCTTTGTCAGATCTCAGGTTTAACCTCCGAAAATAAATCAGAGTTGTACAGCAGAGGTGAAGCAGCACCTCTCCCAGAGCAGAGTGCCAGGATCCTGGCACTCAGCATCCCCTGTGCTGGCAGCCAAAGGTAAGGGGAGGGCAGTGGAAAGGTTGCTGCTGCTTGGAGGCCAAAACTCAGCCCAAGAAAGCCCCTTCCTCATCAGGAGGCAGGACAGTCCCATGTTCCACAGCTCTAAGGCAGGGATTTCTTCCCATTTTCATCACCCCCAGCAAGAGAAGCACAAACTCCCCTTCCAGATGTGTCTTCACAATGTTCAGTCATAGGCAGTGGTTAGAAGAGAGGGATATTTCTCTCCAACCTCCATCCCTGACACTAGACTCCCTTCTGGGTGGGTTTGGGGTATTTCCAGTCCCTCCCATATTCCCAGCTGCACTGGCTCTGTGTCTGGAGACAGCTGAGGGAAACCCATGTTTTGTAATGTCACCCTCTGGAGACCATTTCTGTAATAACCAATCTCCTTAGACATCCCTTCAACACGAGTGTGCCCTCCTGGCCCAAACCCACCCCTGGGCTTGCTGCCAGGGCTGTTTTCCACTCCAGCCTGGCACTGCTGGGACTGTCCTTGGGCACAAAAGCTCCTCTTCAAAAGCCTCTTCTGCCTTGTGCTGTGAACTGGAAAGAGCTGTCAGAGCTCCTGCCAGGGGCCAGCACTTCACTCCTGTAGGATGGGGTTATAGGTCAGGCCTTTATTTGCAGCACAGTCTGCCTGCCCAACCCCTCCAAAACACAGCAAGGCCATGGGGCTTCCAAAACTTGGGTTTCATACAGTGATGGAGCCTTTCCCCAGGCTGGGGGTCCCCCAGGAGCAGAAGTGCCAGGGGCAGAGGGACAGCCCCAGAATAGGGTTCCCATGGGGCAGGCAGGGCTGGGTATCCAACCTCAGGGCTACAGGGACCTTCCCCTCACCCAGTTCTCCAGCCCAGCCAGGCAATTGCTCCATGTCTGCCAACACAGGAGCTGAACCCCCCCACTGCAGGAGAGAAACCAACCATGAAACAGAGACAGCTGTGTCCTGCACGGGCCCTGTGTCCCTGTGGTGCTGCACAGAGCCCCTCTCCATTCCCTTGCAGGTGGGCTGCAAGCACACTGCCACAGCAGGGGAGCTCAGCATCACCTGTGTGACCCTGCTCAGCCTGGGGAGGTGCCTGTTGCTCCTGCATCCACAGGTGTGGCAGCCCCACGTCTCCCCAGGCTATGTTCCCTGCTAAGGCTCAGTCTGTGCCATCTGTCCTACCATAACACCTCTCCACAAGATCTAAAGCCGTGGTTGCACAGGGATAGGCAGCACTTTGGGGACAGCAGGAGGGGAGGAGGCTTTTTCCAGGGGGTGTCACAACCACAGGTGATGGTGCTGGAGAGCAGAGAGCTGCTGGCAGCTGCCAGGGTTGTCAAAGTCTTTGGCCTTCATGGCGTGGGATGGGGATTTGGGAGCAAAGCACATCAAGTGAGCTGAAGAAAGTGACATTTTCCTTCCCAGCTGCTCCATCCGTGCCCACGCAGCCAGTGGAATGACTCTGTGCAGTTAATGATGCAATGTGATTAGTAAACAAATCATGCATTTGCACCAGGAAACAAAAAAAAAA